CCTGTCTTTAAGAGCTGAGATTGCTAGTGGCCAGTTATTTCAATTCTACGGGAAATAAAGGCAAGAAAAAAGGCCTTAGAAAATTCAGACCACAAGGTTCCAAAGTTCCAGTCTGCCCTCCGGCATGTGTGGGCTGTGCATCAATGGATACAACAGAGCTGATGGGACTCAGTCATTTCATACAACTGACTGTTGGACACCCCTGGGTCATGGTTTCCTGGGGGAATCTTGGAACCCATCCGTGCTCGGGCACAGAGGGAGGGCTGCATCACTTGTGCAGTCGACCACAGGCATCACAGAGGGACCACACCAGAGACGGTGCTGACTAGGACAGGACACAAGGCACCCCCCCCCACGAGATGGACCTCAGTGGGTAAGAGCCCAAGGTCTAGGAGCACATCAGCAGGATCCAACGCCTGACCTGTTACCTAGAGCACTTAAACCTGAGCATCCTTCACTTCCCTAAGCCTGTCTGGCCCTCCCCAAAAAAGGTACTAAGAACAGTACCTGTATCACGGTACGGGGATGAGGACTACCAGTTGACCAAAGAGTAACACCTGGTACACTGTGATAAAGATCTTGAAAACCATTCTGTGCTTTGAGAAACATGATGAGTGAAACACATTTCTCAGGTGGGTAATCACTCTGGGTGTCTGCTAGCAAAGCAGTTATTAAAGCTGAACCTCAAAACACTTGTTAAATCACTCATTTTTGGACAGACAATTTAGATCCTTTGCAAGATAAAAAACTTCACTGGTGTTCTAACCAACCTAACTTCACAGACAGCTCGTGCAGTAGCAATCCCTACAAGTGATGCCTGCAACTTAATAAAGGTTAACATACTAAGAATTCTGAAAATGCAGGTTACCTATATTGTTAAGACTTAATTTTGTACCTTGCTTTAGCATTTAAAGCAGTTTTCTGGCTGCAGATTAAAATGACTGGAGCTTAAAAACAAAAGATCATGCCAAGTCTCCACTCCCCACCAATTAAGGGGTATCTCCGTAGGTACCAGTCAAGTGTCAGGACACCTTTTGAAGTGCATCACACCCGCTAATGCATGGGTCTGGTCACCCACCACTGAAATCTAACATAATAAACAGCTTTCGTAGTAGTTTCCTACACCTTTTCCAAGGTGGGTGTTATTAATACACACCAGAACAACTGGAAAACAAGAAAACCAGTTTTAAAACAAGAGCAATGTGGTATTAGGGAACGTATGAATAATTAGAAAGGGAATTACCTGGCTAGTCAAGCTTTACACCATAATGCTCAAAACCTTACAGTCAAGAATGTGATCATAAAGATACTTTAGGATCACAAAAAGCACTTTTGCAGTCACTTATACTTGGTTTTCAATAAATCTGAGAAAGCTTAAGTTAAAAAAAGATGCAAAGTTGTATAATTTATGGTTATGCTTGATCAGTACAATTATAGGGAAACAGTCACAGAAACTGATGCTGGATGGCAGAACTTAGCATTAGTTTTTTAATATAATTTATTTTCCATATTGCCTAAAATGCACACCTTGTGATTTCTACAATCAGAAACGCAGGAAGACTAAACTCTCTCTCTTTGAGGGTGATTCTCACTTCTCTGCGCCCACCCCACAGGCTGGGAGTTCCCAAGAGGCCATGGCTGCCCAGAGCTCTCCACAAGCTCGGCTCTCAGGGCGGGACTGGAGTGCAGCTGTCCCGTCTCCTACCCAAAGCCCTTGACCTCCAGGTCAAAGGTCACTAAGAAGACCACCTGCCAGCGGACTCGAGTCCCAGTGAGTGACAGGCCATCACGCCCTGACGCAACATGAGCACGCGCATGGCCGTCCTCCATGGAGATCAAACCCCCTGTTGCTGTTTTTTAGAAAGGAAAATGACACTTCACCACACTTTTGAACAGTTTATTTATTCACACAATAGTTTATCTCCCTTTGAAAGCTAGCATATGAAGATCACTTATTTACCTTGTTGTTTTTCCACATGGTAAAAGCTTGATCGTCCCCTAATTCTCATAAAGGTCAATGTTTTAAAATCTATGCACATACCAGAGTTACTGAAAGCAATGTGCAAAGCTCTGGGAAAACTAGTGCTTGAATGTTTTTAAAGTGGCAGAAGATCACAATTCAGGGATAAACCCTGTAAGGAAATGTATTTTTTTACCTTATGGGTAAAACTTGTTTTCAAAGTGATATATTTTGAACGATTACAATCCAGAACTAAATCCCATGGCAGACAACATCCGTTTTAGGGGAACTTCTGAGCTAAGATAACAGAAGGAGAAATTAAGAATATTACTCTTCCCTGACGAGAATTACCAACTTTGATACATTTTTCCAAATGTCATTTTTTAAGGTGACACATGACACACTCAGAATATAACTCTTAAATCTGTCTCTTGTAAATACAAGAATGGGCAAAATCACGTACATTAGTTACAGAAAGAACGCAGGAAGGCGGTGCACTTAGCATCACGTAAGAACGTTAAGGCCTTAGTTACGTGGCTGTGGCTTCGGTGATGTCAACAGTGCGCTCCCCTCACGCTTACATTACAAGTAAGCAGGCAGGCAGAGCAAAGATTTCTAAACATGTAAGGGTTAAAGATAGTTTAGCCTATATATTACCAGTCAATTAATACAGTCAGGACTCTTCTCAAGTAACTGTCATAAAGCAACCAAATCACACTTCATACAGAAATGAGGCGCCTCCCATACAGTCAGAGTGCTTCCTGGAATGTAAAGCAGAGGAAGAGCCCACGTGGACTTTTATGTTGTAAACGGTTCCCAGCTAAGACCAACCACTGCATCACGCAGTCTGTGAAACGCCTACCAGAAAATGCATTTACCTCTTAACAGTTAGGAGCGGGTAGTCCTAGCCTAAACATTAAAGCCAGACGTGTAGGTAAGACTATTCCATGGTGGCCTGTGGTTTCATCTCAGGACAGGAAATTTCATAGTTATTAAACAGCGTATTAATGTCCACTATTCCTGTCATGTCAAAGTTATCAGAAACAGACAGGAAGCTGGAGTCCAGAGAGCAGGCTTCCTGGTCTGGCCCTGCCTCCACCTCCCGTGAGACATAAGGGAAGTTCTCAGTCCCCAAAAAGGTCTCAGAGCCCTCAACCAGAAAACAAAGGAGCTGAACAAAATGAACCCTAACTACAAAGGATTCCCATCAAATGGGATTCTGCTAAATTCAGCTTGAAAACTGACAGGTCTGAAACTGCCGGCCTGATGCTCATCACCAGTAACACTGATCACAGGGAGAGATTTAGGCCAGGGAGTGCCTGCTTCTGCACTGAGAGGGCGGGATGGCAAGGCTGCTGCCAGCGTGCGTTCCCAGGTTCTAAGCAGAAAGAGCATCCACCCTGGGCCCTGGGCAGGCAGGCGGCTCCAGAGACATGCGTGTGTGTGTTCTCGTAACTCATGCACACAGGCAAAGGGGTTTTCTAGAAGACACCATACAGCACATGGACCTGACAAGCCCAAAACACATCTGAAATGAAAATGCAACCAAATACTTCAGGCTGTTTCTCTCCTTCATAAAATGCACACACAGACGTGGAGCCAACATCCTTCACTGCACGCCAGGTCCCCAAGTCCAACTTCCCTTTCAGATATCAGTGCTTCTTTTACAAAACCAACACCTATTTTCAAAACTCAAAATTTGCTTGGATTAGATTATACTTAGTAGAAAAAGTCAATCTATTTTTTCTAGTTTCAAGATTTTCTATGCCAACAGAGAAGAACTAAATGAGACATAAGACTTAAGTGCAGGGAAGTATACCAGACACTGCCACACACTTACACTGAAAACCCACTTCACGTGGTTGACACAGAGACTTGCAAAGAAGGTCATTTTTCACAAAGGAATTGCCCAGGCTTACTCAGTAATACCAACATTCCATAATAGATGTTACCTCACATGTCAAATTGGACCAGGGCGGGGGGGAGCCGCAGGAGTACTTTTAAGTATTATTGAGATGCTACAAAATCACTAGGCTGGTCAAAAAGCAGTGATTAGAACCAAGGAAAATTAGTCTTTCTTGAGAAGACAGACAGACAAGAACCTAAGAACAGGATAAATTAAACAGAATTGCGCCACAGGGCAGACACGTAAACTGACTAACATTACAGCACTTTTAAATTCTCATGATATTTGCTTATTTTGTATTATCTTGAAGACAAACGGATTATGACCTTCCAAAATACCAAAAGTGTCCTGAAATCTTATCAATTCTTTTCCTTAAAGGAATGAGGCCTTTGAACCACAAACACCATGACACCTCCAAGGGTTTCCATGAGGTAAATCATGTATTTCATAACCCAGATCGCCACACAGCGCGCTCCCTGGCACCCGCCACAGGACACGACAGACACAACAAGCTATCGAGCAAGAATCTGTTAACAGTTTTATTATTTTTGTGTTAAATACCATGGGACAGGATTGGAAGGATGAAAAACTCAGTCAACAACTGCCTCACAAGGGATAAGAAAAATTCTGCCATGATATTAGCAAAGGTGAAGGAGAAAATTTACACTGTACGAGGCACCATTTCCCCACAGAATACCTCTTGGCATTTCCTGAATGAGTGGGATTAGCAATCTAAATAAATCATATTTCAAGAGGTAACAGCAACAGATAAAATTTAAAGGGATTATTAAAATAACATTTACAAGACTCTGAACAATTCTTGAACTCTTATTAAAACCACAAAGAAAGAACAATTCTTTATTTATGAATTTCATAAAGGACTGAATGTGCAATGACACCTGCTAGGGACGGTCTGGTGACGATGGCGCTGTCCGGAGCCCAGCACTCTGTTCTTACGTGTTTCTTTCTAACCGTGAGACCGTTACGGGCGAGGCCTACATGACGCTGTACACACAAAGCATGGTCACCGTGGGCCACATGGTCACCGTGGGCCACACTACCAGTGAGATGGCAGGTAAACGAATCTTTTCTGGTCAAGAGGAAAAAAAGAAATAGCACTCTGCATGCTTCACTCTACAAGATGAATTTCCCTAGAAAGAATCCAATGAAAATGGCTGCAATGACAACAAGAAGTGAAGGAAGAGGACTGGTGACGTTCTCTCTGAAGGACGCAGCTGAAGTGGATCCAGGTTTATCCGAATGTGCTACCTTCCTGAGCCGTAAGCCTTCATCCTAGGAAAAAACACAGGCACGAAAAGAGGTTTCAAAAACAAATGTGCATCAGACCACAAGCTACAAATACAGAGACAGACAACAGAGCCATACACAGGTGACCCAAGGGGCCCACACTGTCCTCACAATGGGCCCTTCAGCCACAGACGACCAGAAACAGGTGAGTGCTAGTCAGAGTTCAGTTTACAGACACGTGGCAAGACAGCGCCACAAAGGAAGAGCCGAGACCTCGCAGGACTGGGGGAGAGGGAGGATGTGAGTAAAGGGTTGCCACCTGGCCTGGACCAAGGAGGAGACACGGGACCCTGTTTTGTGAGAAAGGAGGGAGGGACACAACAGAGGGGGAGTGCTGCTTGCAGGACCCCACCCCCAAGTCTCTGTGCCTGGCCTGGAGACCACTTTTCTCCAAGGTGGTCTCCACTTCCAGACCAGAGCGGCCACTCCATCCTGACTGATGCTGTCTCACACAGCAATTTCTGACAGTCAGTCTGGGACTTTAGGGGACAAGGTTCTCAGTAACACGACAGCAATCACTCAAAGTAGGAGGCTGTTATGACACTTCACCAGCTGCAGAATGACCTTGGAAAATACCCACAGCTGTGCACCGAGGCAGCTGGCTTCACCTGGCCTATCACCCTGACCAGAGAAGGGGCAGCCCTTCATTCACCTCCTCAGCACAAGCTGGTCTCACTTCTCGCACTGCCTCCCCTCGTGCGTTCACTAGTAACACCCCACGCACTTCTCGTCATGCTGTCTACCCACATAACTGACTGCTCGGAGGCATTATGGATTTGGGTCTTGTTCTGGTGAGTCCTATGTGGACACCACAATGACTCTCGGTCCCAGAGAGAACTTTAAAAGGCACTCCCGATGACTCTGCCTCCCTGGGTCTGGTGTGACCCAGACTTGAGGTAAGAGCTCACAGCAGACTCCGATGAACAGGCTGGATGAGGAAGCGGAGGTGGGGAGAGGTGAAAGGCAGTGGGGAGATCCTGCCCGGAAGGCTGCCACAATGCCAGCCTTGATGTGAGCTGTTAAAGGGCCAGAGGTCAACTTGTGCGCCAGCGGTCTTCAAGGCTCTTTTATCTTTTAAACAGCAGGATGCTTCTTCAAACAACATCTCCTAGAGAACATCAGTCAATTCCATCACCTGTCTCCCACCCTGGTCAGCCTGGCAGTTCCTGACATTCAGGCCTCAGCTCTCTGAACACCTGGGCTCAGCACGCCGAGGAGCAAACCGCCCACCAAACACAGAACTGAGGTCACAGCAAGTAAAGGGAAAGTGCAAACAACAGCCCCCTTAAAACGGCACGGGGTTGAGTGTGGTTGTGAAACAGAGACCATCTTTCCACCCTCCAAGTAGGTGCTCAGGGCAGGGGCCTCAGAGAGGCGCTTGGGAAAGGGAGAAACAGCCAGAAAAATCATCTCAGCACAGGTCAAGCCACCTCACAGGAGCCTTCAATGAGAGCCATGCACGAAATTTAAAATTTTCTAGGCCCATTAAAAAGGTACCAAAATTGATATAATTAACTAGCTTTAATAATGTATCTTTCACTGAATCCAATAGAATCCAATATTATTTCAACATAACAATACAAAACAGGGATTTGGGGCTTCCCTTGTGGCTCAGCTGGTAAAGAATCCGCCTGCAATGCAGGAGACCCGGGTTTGATCCCTGGGTTGGGAAGATCCTTGGAGAAGGGAAAGGCTACCCACTCCAGTATTCTGGCCTGGAGAATTCCATGGACTAATCCATGGGTTGCAAAGAGTTGGACATGACTGACCAACTTTCACTCACTTATGTGACTCACAACACATCTTAATTCCAACTAAGCACACCTAAGTGCCCCGCCCTGGGCAACGGGGGCCCCTCGCGGGGACGGCACTGCTGCCGCAACCGACAAGACCAGGCCCGGAACTCGGAGGCTGCACCAGCGACAGAGGAAGCGGCAAGGACACGCCGAACGCCAGCATCCAGGCCAGCTGCCAGAAGGGCGTCAAGGCCATCACTGACAGCAGGGACCACGCAGACACTCACCCTCAGGTGCCGGTTCTCCTCCGACAGCTTCATCATCTCCCCCTGCAGCCGCTTGCACTCCTCCATGAGCTTCCTCGTCTCGGTGTCATTGAGGGAAACACTGTGCGGCTTTGGCACGGGCCCATCCTGCTTCGCAGCGTTCAGGGGAACAGCTTTGCTGGGTTCCATGTCATTCTGCATCACAAAGATAGCAGGCGCGGAGTTTGTCAACTGACAACTCTCCTTACAGGTTTTAAACAAAACTTTAATCTCCACATTCTTGTCCAAGAAATTATTTACACAGAAAGTTCTGCCAGTTTCAATTTCATTATTAAAGTTTTTAAAATGGACAACATCTGGTCCCCTATGACCAGCTTTACAGGACAATAGTGAGCATGAGTGGTCACCAAGGTCTGAACACATGGTTCCCTGCTCTGCGTCCACCTCCCACCCCAGAGCAGCCAGCAAGCAGCTCATCGTCCTCCAAGATCCTTCCCTACAACACCTCAAAGTCTGGGAGAGCAAGAGTCACTCTGTGCGTTCACCCCTAAACCCAGCACCCCAGCCAGTGGTCACTCAACAAGGACACCAAGGGACGCCTGCCCAGATCCACACACAAAGTTCACAATCAGTGCTGATTCTGCAGCCTGAGTGAGTTGCCGGAGGGCAGGTGGATGTGGTCGGAACCACTCAAATGAAATCAGACCACCTAAGAGAAATGCGTGGGAGAAAACCCAAGTTCTGTTCACAGAAAAAGTCACTGGAGGATCTGGAGCCTGAAGGGGAGATAATGAGCACAAACACGTGTCGTGGGGAAAAGCAGACAGGGAGTCCACCTGACTGTGCTCAAACACGAGTTGGCCCCACATTTATGCAGTAACGCTCCCTGCTGTTAAGTCATGAGATTCAGTAGGAGCCAAGGTGGCGCTCTGGCACTTTAAATTACAAGCCCCACATCTGAAGTCTGGCCAGCACTGACCCATGTGACCCACCGGGCCCCTAGGTGCCCTGAGCCTCAACAGGACACCTGTCCACCTGAAACTCCTCTCCACCTTCAAGCACCCCAACAGGAGCAGCACAACAAGTGTTGTCTTCAATTAAAATTTTACTTGCTAAAAATGTTACTTTTCAGATAACAAAGTATAAACTGCTTTATTCAGATATAAAATTCTACCAGAAACATTTTCAAAATTAACTTTATGGCAGGTTCCACAGTACTCATCAGAGGATTTAATTACAATCAACACCTGCCACAGCATCCCAGTTCCAGAATTCACACAGTACAAATGGGGACAAGACGTACTTCCTATGAAGGGGTTGTGCTCTGATTGCTATGTCTAGATCCATGTAAAAATGAACACCACTGATTATACTGAGGTCCCAGTCGACACTCAGATCCCCATCTCTCTCTGAAGCATCCCCACCAGTTCAGGTGCCAAGAAGTTTGCTTCAGGATCCTCTCTGCTTCCGTGCGAGCTTCACTCTCCCCTCTCTCCCTTCCCAGCCAAGCCCGTCAGGTCTGCTAAAAATCCCGTTTCAGATGCTGGTACCCTCCACCCGTCTCTCCTCCTTTCCTTCATAGTCACTAGAGTTCACTTCAAAATGGCTTCCCAAGTGACTTCTCACTTGCCACCTAGAAGCAGCCTAGCATCTGGGAACCAGGATGGCACGCGGCCTTCCTTCCTCTGTGAAGACAAACAGTCCACAATACCACAACTCGGCACTCTTCCGGTTTGGGGAAAGAGTATCACCCTCGTGCCAGCAAGCTGACTAAGAAATTAACAGGAGATACAAAAGGTCAACCAAGCAAAGACAAAACTAGAACAAGGACTCATCAAATTCTTCCCAAATGGCTTTTTATTTTTGAACAAATTTTTGAAATTCTAGAAAATTGAGAATATGAAAGAGAAAATTACCTCCCGTTCTCTCATCAATTCAACTTTACTATTCCTATATTACCTTCCAAATATTCTTTCATATGCACATTTTATAAACTCAGCATACATATAACCTTTAATTCTTTATTCATTATATGTACATCTTTTAAGTGTCATTCTAAATGACATGATGTCACTAAATACTATTCTGTGCCTTACCAAAGTTACTTCAACATTTCACTCTTATTAACATCTGATGGGAGGCTCCCACTCTGGGATTTTAAATACCACGTCAACTGACAGCATCTCACAGTGACAGAATTATATCTTTTTATTGAAAACTTTCCTTAATGTAGTTATATTGCCATTATAAGGAAAAGGAATGTCATAACCAATCTGTGGACATACATGTAAAGACTAGAATGCACAAGATAATAGTGAAGGCTAAATACTCGTCAGAAGTGAGCCCAGCACGTCATGAGACAGTCACACTGAGTAAGAGCACACACACCCTGTGCTCACAAGCATTCAGGTCCCTGCAAACCAGCCAGCACACACAGCAGGGGCAAGGAAATCCAATTTACTAACTAATTTATAGTGGAAGCATATAGAACCTAACTCGGGGTGGCTAAAGGGTTGAGTGGGGGCATCACTGGTGCGGGACAAGCTGGGGACACCAAGGCTGCTGGGACCTAACTACAGGCTCCACTGCGTGGTCCCTCCTTGAGAGTTGCTTCAGACACTCCCCAAAGAGGAGACAGGTTCTTCTGAGAGCCATGGGCACCAACTGGAGACATTCAACAAGCTGTGATGCTGAGCAGTCAAGGAGCAGTGACACTGCACACATCTAACACTGCAACTCAGAAGAGACTCAGCAGTCAAGGCCATGATACCACTAAGAGCACACTACCCTGCTTCACACGGCTCAGCCTATCAGCAGCAAGCCCCTCCCCCTAGATGAGTTTACTGCTGTACTTTTTAGAAAGCCTCCTTTAGAATTTCAGTTCCAATACTCTGAATTATTCCCTTTAGGGATAATTACAGTGAGGGCTTAGGGGCTGGACAGAAAAGGAAAGGTGGGATAAAAGGCAAATTTGGTTTCTGCACTGAAGCCCTGGGACGGACAGAGGAAGGAAAGAATGCACACCTGGGCAACACTCGCGGCTCCTGGGGGAGTGAGGGGTCCAGGGCATGTGCAAGGGGTAAAGGGCAAAGCCCAGAGCTGCGGCAGGAAACCGCAGGAGGCCCAAATAAGACCTCAGCTAAGAGGAGGTGGTGTCCGAATATAAAGTTACCAAAGTATCAATACATCTCCAGTCTAAACTAAAATCACAAAACAGTTCGAAGTATTAGGCCTTTAGAGAAAGGAGTAGGTTTTTGAAGCCTTAGTGTCCATGGTCTCTGAAAGCTGGAGCTTCCCAGAAGCAGGAAATGCGAGAGCGGCAGCCTACAGCACCCGGGACACCGCCAGGAGATCAAGGTCATCGACAAGTGTGCCAGCGTCGTACTCAAGTGGATGTCAGGTGTACACACGCACACACACAGAGACACTAATGAACTCAAACGCGACCTCAGATCTGTAGGGCTCCTGCCACCATTCTCCTACCCCCGGGGGCACCGACAGTTAAAGACAGTGACCGTCAGCTGCATGGGACAGAGACATAAGGCAAAAATCTCACTGATCTTTCTTATATATAAACATAAACACCTGCCTGGAGAGTGACATCCACCAGCTCCCCCTTGACTGACACCTGCTGCCCCCGTCAGATCTTTCCCAGAGGATGCTCCCCAAACCTCAGCGACAGTGAAAAAGCACATCCATTTCATAATAATGCTCCCATTTACACTGCTCTGCTCAAGACCGGGATGTTATCGAGTATTGTGTTTGCTGTTTAGAACAGAAGAATTTGTATGCGTGGTTTTTAAGTGACTGTGGTTCTGCTGTCATTTTAAACATAGCTGAAATTTTCAGTTCTAGTTACTGCACATAAAACACTCAATAAATACCTCGCACGTGCTCAGTGACTACGTCACCGTGATCAGTGACACTGGCAGACTCGTCTATCTGTCAGCTCCCTGAAACAAACCTTCTTCTCCTGTTTGAACACACTGAAGCCCCTGGGCTCATTCTTCGCACTATAACTGGCAGGTGCTGTGCCTGTGCTGTTGATGCTGCTCAGCGGAGTGACGGCCATGGCGGGCCCTGGAGGAGCGAGGCCCTGAGGTGCGGGGGAAACACAGTCTCAGATTCACACTGCGCTCTGACTGCTCCTGCGAGGGACTGGGGACGACTAACACAGAGATCATGAGGCTCTCAACATTCAACTTATTCTGTAAAGACGCGTCACACATAAGAAATAGTAATAAATAATAGTTACGTTAAAGCAGAAAGTACCCTTTTGAAGTTTTTCTATGAATTAGCTATAATCAACTTGCATTATGTTCACTAAACTAAACGTATAAACCTTATTAACCTTAGGCCAGCCTCACGTTGTCCTAGAATGAGGACCTTCTACCTGCATGGCTCCTAATTTTTGTTACTAATGAATACTTGTCAATACCTGATGAACAAGCACTTCCATTTTCTTACCTTTGAAAACATTCAACTTGAACAATGTTTAAATTAAATGAATTTTTTCAAGGGTTCAAAAATTGCAATAATTTATACACATCTGTATTCAGCAGACACCCCTCCCCCAAACACAAACATGCGCGCACACACCCCTACCTACCTCCCAGAATCAAGACACAAAGACACACAGAACTTTCTAATACACCATTGTATCTCCACAGTTCTCTATCTCCTCAAATTCCTTTAACACACACATAAAGGTAATACCATACAAAAAGCTTGTAGCAGACTCAAATAATACTTATGGATATCCAGGTCACTATACATAACTATGATAAAGACAATTCCATCTTACTTGATAATGCACTGTCACCAATCTGTTCTTTATCGCAACAGAAAATAATGTACGCTTAATCATAAAAAATCTTTATACAGAGGACCCCTGAGGTTCCCTTTCTTGACTGCCCTTTACTCTTCATTACGGTAAGTATTTTTTCCTTGAAAATAACATTATGTCATAAAGCAAACGTCATTAACAGACGTTAAATGGAGGGCTTATAAATGAAATGTAATACTTTTTTAAAATTTGGAAAATGTCAACTATAGTCGGTGGCCTAAAAAAAAAAAAAAAATCAAAAAATTTTATTTCAACAGAATTGAATAAGTGATCAAATACGATTACTAACAAGTTAATCTGAAACCACACTCATCCTAAAAAAACCACGAACACTAACTGGAAATCAGAT